AGACACGAGCACATCTGTGTTCACTGCTGTCACTACGGAGACACGAGCACATCTGTGTTCACTGCTGTTCTATTCCCAAAGGCCTGGAAATGAAATCAAACAAAACACAGCTACACAGTGAAGAATGAAGATGGGAATATATGCACAATGGAATACTGCTCCGCTGTAAAACATGAAATTAATCTGCAGGAACATGGAGGCAACTGGAAAATAAAATTTGAAGCAGTGTAACTCGGGTTCAGAAACACAAATGCCACGTGTTCTGTACTATGTGGATTTTAGAATGGTTTATTTTTCTGGGGTGGGGGGGTGGATGAGCGTTTTGCCTACAGGTATATACATTCACCATTGGTGTGCTGGGTACCTGCAGAGGTCAGAATTGGGCAACGAGTCCCCTGGGACTGGAGTTGGAGGCCATTCTGAGCCACAGAGTGGGTGCAGAGGGTGGAGTCCATGTCCTCTGCACAAGCAGGAACTGCACTTAACCACTGGGCTTCCCACCCCGTCGTATGCAGATTTAGCGTGTGGTTTGTAATTATGCATTTCTAAGTAGGAGTGGGGGAGAATCCTGGGAAAGGACCCATCAGAGGAGGGGAAGTACCTTTAGATGCCTCTAGCTAACCCTCAGGAAACATTAGCTGTGCTGTGTTTAAAACCTGGGAGTCATGATTTACTGGGTTAGTATCTGACCGCTTACGACAGATTCTAAATTAATGACAGTTTGGTGAATAGAGACACTCGCTGCCAAGTCTGAGGACTCACTCCCCAAGAGCCTCATGATGGAAGGAAAGACCAGACTCCTGCAAGCTGTCCTCTGACCTCCACACACGATGCAGCACACGCATGCAAGCCACAACCAGCCAATCAAAAAATAAAGCAAATGTAACTTATTGCATTCCCTGACTGTTCTCTCAGGAACTGCGGTTCAAATGTTCTCCCAGGTGTTTCTCCTGATCGGCAGTGCTGCTGGAAGTGTGTGGCGTTCCTTACTCCTGTCCACGTTCGGTTGTTTCCATTGGGTTGCTTTTTAAAATTTGATTCGTCTTTCACTAGTTCTTATTCTGTAAGTGTAAATATTTTAATAAGAACAATGTAAGGGGCTGGGGAGATGGCTCCGTGGGTGAAGAGTGCGTGAATGAGGACTGAGTTCAGATTCCCAGCACCCATGCAAAAATCGAGCATACGTCAGTCAGGGACAGAAACCGGGGATCCCTGGAACTCACTGGCTAGTCAGTCTAACCAATCAGTGACCTCTAGGTTCAGTGAGAGACAGTCTCAAAAAAATGAACTGAAAAGTAGGTGATAGTAATATAAATACAATAAAAGATAAGTAAAATAAATAATAAAAGATAAAGTGAGCAACTGAAAAAAAATGGAATCAACCTCGACTACACACACACACACACATATGTACAAACACACATGTGCAAATACCTGCATGTGTATATGCACATAATATTCACATATACACAAAAATAACAAAATAAGACTTAAAACCGGGGAGGGGCTTGATTTCAAAGGACCTTCCCCTTTGAATGACCCTCATCAACATGTGGAGTCCTATCTATATGATACACACACAGGATAGGTGACTATTGTCCTGTGATGTCATTCATGCCGGAAAAAGGACTGAGAGATGTGAAGGAGTGGCCATCCACATTTCAGAAGGAGCTTGCAACTCAGACTTGGTATGTGGTGTAGAATACTCTCTCTCTCTCTCTCTCTCTCTCTCTCTCTCTCTCTCTCTCTCTCTCTCTCT